CCCAGTCACCACCTAATATTTCATCTGTGCTACATTTGCAATCTCCCATCCACTGAGGCCATGAGCCATTACTGATGGCCAGGATCGCAGCATGGTGGCCCCCTTGGAGTAATGAGATAGAGAGAGGTGGGAAGTGAGAGACGGGGCATGCGGGAAGGAGGCGGTGGAGGAGGAAAAAGTAGAGGACAAAAAGGGGGATAATGGAAGAGTATAGTGGGACGGGGATGAGGGTGGATAGAGGTTTCTCAATGTGCCATTATGGAGCACGAAAAGAGAAAATCAAATAGACAAAAACATTTCAGAGATGGGCAGAGAGAGACGGAGATTGAGAGATGTGGGCTGAGTGTGAGCAAAGGTAGGGAAAGACAGAAAGAGCTGCGGACGGGAGATTGCTTTCCTCTAATTATGTGTCTTTTCGCTGTCGCAGAGGTGGATACGAAGCTAATTCCACCTGCCCTCCTTCCTCTGCCCTTTTTTCCCTAAAAGCTCATGTACTCTCTTTTTCTTTACCCACTTTCAGATGAGGCGTATTAGAGGCTGCTCATGACACTGAAATGAACAGATGGCAACATCGGTCCAAACAAAAGAGACATTTTGTGGTTCCCATCACCGTGACAACAACCCTCTACCCACCTGCACAACTTTGCTTCTGTGCCGTTAAAGGCGAGGCTCCATTTCCTGCCTCTGTGTTTTTATCTGTGTGCTCACAAACCACATTTACTTACTATACTGAAGTACGTATCTGATGTGGTGTATTGTACTTGAATTAAGAGGAATATTAATAGGACTTTTTGGGGCTTGCATAGATTTTAATGCTACAGTAACGATGCCTGCAGCCATCAGGTGAGCTGCAGTCACAATTCTGCTGATGTTGTACGTGAAGAAATAACTAAAGATATAAGTTTGCGTGTGGCTAAGGCTAGCTGCCCACTCACCTAATAACACAGACAATTTCTGCTCTCTGGACTTTTGGCTAAACAGCTGCAAAAAATATAAATTTCACAGAGTAAGCATTTTTCTTCTTGAAGAAGCCACGGGTGGAGCCACTGCATCAAGTGACTTTTATAAATGATTTTTTATAGGTTTCAGATGAACTTTTGCGAAATCTCGCAAAACCTTTCCGTGATCCCGAGTTACTTTTGCGAGATCTTGCAAAATAGACTGCATCCTTCGCAGGTCGCATTTGCAGGCCGAGTCGGTGTATCCTTCGTGACACGACCTATCCCAGAATTCATAGCGCGGCCCAGCCGATTCGTTTCTAACAATGGCGGCAGCTACTTCGTTTTAATTTTACTCTTATTACAAAATAAACTTTTAAGATATTCTCAGGAATGTAGCTGTGTAAACTTCAAATATCTGCTCGGTTTATCAAGACATCACATATTTGCAGAAGTGCTCCGACGTTTTCCGAGACGTCTGTTACCCACCGGCTCGAAGCTAACGGGAGGTCGAGGCCCACTACAGCCGGGGGAACGCCGCACTCCCAGCACATCGTGCCTCGACCTCCTGGTCGGTTTCGAGCTGGCGGCCTCCGAAGGATGCGCCCAAGTTTTGCGAGCGCTCGAAAAAGTTCATCAAAATTCATCTTCATTTTTTTTCTCCCATGTCCCTTGCGGGGCTCCGTACTCTAAGTGTCAGGGATGTTACAGTGAGACAAACAACTTTATAGCATCGAGAAAGCTGCTTTTTAAACACGCAGGGAATCAGGATGTGTTAGCAGAATGCTAACGTTTTATTAGGGGTTTGGCTTAAGTGTAAATCATTGTTTTATTGCAGGTCAGGTGTATCACTGATGCCATTTTTGAAACAAAACAAAAAATAGAAGTAAAATAAAAAAGCTGTATTCACTCATGCTTATGTCATGCAAGCACCAACCTCTGCTTAACTGCAGCTTATTTCTGTACATCGGGATTAACAGGAAGTGACATAACACCTCACATCAACTTGAATATGACATAACCTCCCCATTCCCAGGAATACTGTCTTAATTTTTTTATCCTTACACAGAGTTTGCGTGGGAATCGGTTGAGACTGGATAACAGCTTTGGGTCACTAACTAGCCACTGTTAGCTAGTGTTGCTCACTGTTGATTAAGAGAGTGTAAGAGAGGCATTTACTAGTGTGCTGCTTCTAGTGTCACTTGAGTAAAAGCTATTGATGGACCTCCTTGATCCACGACTTGAAGTCCATCATCCCGGGCCTGCAGCTTTTAGCCGGTCGAAAACATCCTGCCCAAGTAAAAAGGTGATTAAAGTGGATAAACGTGAGATAGCCATCGCATTCGATTTATTATCTTGAAAAAAGTGCAAAGAACAATCTTGTCACCATACGTCGGCGTTTCTTATTCAAAAGCATTTAATAATGTGACTTCATGCTAAAGATAACAGGCCTAATTACTCTTTTCTGATTATATTTGATTAAGTCTTTCTCTTCACACCCTCAGAAATCACACGATCTCATTGAAGGGGTAATTTCCTACTTCAAAAGCTAATTAAGCCAATCAGAGCACAAAGGACTGGCTGTGGCCGTGACCCAGCATGCACTACATTTAACAACCCAAAATTGCTAACAAAGTTTGTCATTCTCTTTTCTGCAAGGTGATTCGTGCTTTGCTCTCAGTAACTGCACATTCAGGGCAAGCTTTGCATTTTACAGTTTTTAGTGTTTCTGTAAATATCCGTCCATCTCATGAGGCTTGGTCGACTGCGTAGCGTATAAGGTATAAGGCGGCTGTCAGTAGCAACAAAAAAAGAAAAGGTAAGTCAAAATTGAGATGTGCGATCTTGACTGGACACCAGCATCGTGCACTTCTCGCAGCAGCGTGGTGCACTGCAGAGAGCTCCATAAATGAACCAGCCAGGGAAAGCCCCTTTGAACATGCCCAGAATGAGTGGCAGGACACTCTGAACACGACTCCGTCTTCACCGCTGCGGCGGGAACAGTGGAACCCGTACGAAGGGCTCTGATAGGCCCAGTGGGGAGGAGATTGCTCTGCCCCTGATTGGATGATTAGGGGCTGCGGGGGCTCAAATCAGCCGTTTTCAGGAAGAGAGTGGTTTGGTTAAGTGGATTGGCACTGTGTGTGCTCTGTGTGTGCTCTTTGTGATTGTGTGTGCGCCCTTTGTGCTCTGCTTAGGGTTTGGTGCCTATTCCTGTGTTTATATGTGTGAGTCTGTGTGCCTGTATGCGTGTGGGTGTGCGCAGAAGTCAGGGGAAGCTGGGAAGATTAGAAAGGGAAAAGAACAAAGCCGGAGGAGAGGCGTGGTAAGAATAGGTGTGTGTTTGAGAGTTTACCTAATGATAGATGGACGGATAAGACGGGAGGCAGAGGGAACGGTAAATAAGCGTAAGGAGATGGCAATTATATGAAAAGAAAAACAAAAGGAATGAAAGGAGTGTGGTAAGAGTGGTACAGGTGGTTGAACAAAGAACCGTGGTTATTTTAGTCAGCTGGGTACCCATGACAACTGAGGGACTGAGTGTGTGTGTGTTCGCCTCCATTACTAGCTGGGAGGATGCGAACCAGCGTGCAGAGACTTGCTTGTATTTTGCGTGTCGCTCCTGCAGCCTGTGTGTGTCGACTGTTTGCTCTGTTGCGCCTTTTCTTATCTTCTGCATGTGGATTTTTAATATCAAGAGAATCTCTCTACAAAAAAAACTGCCACTGTGCTCAGCACCAAAACAGGTACGAGACGGGTTACATCACATCAACCGAGGGGATCCTTTTACGCATCCACAAGCACAACCATAAGCTGCTGTTTCTCATTGTAAAGAGTATTCCATTGTATCGTTACGCTGTAGATAAGTCCTAATTATTCTATTCTGATTATATTTGATTAAGCCATTCTCCTCACACTCTAAGAAATTACACAATCTCGCTGAAGGAGTAATTTCCTACTTCAAAAGCTGATTAAGCCAATCAGAGCACAAAGGACCGGCTCTTGTCATGACCCAGCATGCGTGATGTTTAATTATCTAAAATTGCTAACAAAGTTTTAATTTTCTTGTCTTCTCTTTGTGGTGTGCTTCAGAGTTACGTGACCTGATAACACATTTAATGAAGTCCGGAATGAGCTTTTTAGCAAGCCTTGAAACCTTAATTACAGTTCAGTGATATTTTCTATTGCGCATCACTGTAAGAGATGAAGTCAGCTATAGAATAAATAAAGAAACCAAAAAGAACAATAGAAAAACCAAAAATAAGTAAAATGAGAAGGTTTTTCTATTTCACAGTAACATTCGCCTCCACTCGGTGTCAACCTGTCGTTTATGTCTATAAAGTTCCTTCTTTAGAAGGAAAAAAAAATATCTGGACATTTCTTTTTTCTCTTTGAGTTCATGTTGTGGTGATTTGCACCGTTGCCTCACGAGACGCAGGTCCTGGGTTCGAACTCAGGCTGTCAGCTCCAGGTACATCGGCTTCCTCTCGCAGTCCAGAGACTTGCATTAGGTTAATTAGGTCAGGTTAACTGGTGACTGTGTGAGAGTGAGCGGTTGTCTGTCTCCCTGTGTTAGCGCTGAGACAGATTGGTGACCGGTCCACAGTGTGTCCTCACTCCAGCTGGGATAGGCTCCAGCCTCCTGCAACCTTGCAAGTGTAACAAAATGGATGGCTGGACATATACAATAAAAATTTTCATAATAAAAGATAAAAACAAGTGAGATGAACGTAAACCCTCGACAGCAGTATTATTTTTTATTTGTCATGCAGAACACAACCGTCCCGTCCCTTTGTGTGGCGTTCACACTGGGAGGAACTCCACCGACCACCGCACAGAGCCCAGGCTCCTCTTTCCACAACAAGCTCCACCTGCTGGGAACTGCTTTGTGTCCCACTCGATCCATGCTGGCGCTCACCACAGCCGGATGCTTGCTGAAACACCTTCTTGCCCATGACTTCCCAACCATGTCGGCCCTGTTACACCTTTTATATTTCCATCCGTTTGCTCCGGTCTCAGGTTCTCTTCTTTCTTCCTCTGCTGTTGTTTTCCTCCTTTTTAAAACTCCTGTAGCTAAAAGAATTAATTAAGGTTTGGGTCCATTTTACCAAAAACTAAATAAGGTGGGATTCTCCAATATTTGATTTTTATATATGGAAGGAAACAACAAGAAAGAGTAGCCAAAAAATTAAGGTAACACCTAAAAATCTGTGTGAAAACAATTTTTCACTTTGGTCTGATTTTGAACCGAGTTTTGTTTCCACTGACCACAGTTACGTGATTTGGTCCCTAACACATTACACTTAACAGCTTCTCCAGACCCCTCCGCGTCTTTCACACATGCTCAGGTGAATCTGCTCTCATCTGTGAAAAGCACAGGGTGCCAATGGTGGACCTGCTAATTCTGGTAAATGCCGGTCGAGCTGAATGGTGCCGGGCAGTGAGCGCAGTACCTCACCTGTGGCTTGCTGGAGGTCGTTTTGTATCTCTGGCTGTGCCCATCCTGTTCCCCCTTGAACAAAGGAGGAGACACCGGTCCCGCTGACGGGTTTAGGGTCTTCGATGGCCCTGTCCAGCTCTACCAGAGTGACCACCTGTCTCCTGAGATTGTGCTGGGAGACACAGCAAACCTTCTGGCAAACCCTCCTTAGTAGTGACACTGACACAAGCCAGCAGCCAAAAAGACGACTGATCTTATTTACCGACATATTCTGTATTTTTACTTTTACTACTATTTGGGAATCATACTCAGCTCCTTCTGCTTTCCAAGGAATGTTTTGACAGTAACTAATCTAGACTGTACCAAATTATATTTCCATCTTTACCCAAACTTTCCCTTGTTTGTGCATATTCTTAATTTCTCGACAGTTCAGTTTTGTACAGCACAGTCTATTGGAGCGGGCATGCTCTGTTTTGTGTAACTATTTTTAAATCCCAGTAGAAGTGCAACCACATAAGCTGGCGCAATAAAGCTTTTGCACGTGAAACCAGAGGAGTTAAACTTACTTAAGATGCAATCAACTTGTCCCAGGTCGCATTCAACTTGTCGTGGCAGTTTCCTTCCACATATGCGCTGGCAACAGCAAAAACATTATAATCCACAAACACCCTTTGCTGATACGATCGGCTGTTAGCACCTCCCACGTTCCTACAAATAAATGTGCAAACTCACGTGTCCACCATTACCTGCGAAAACCGGAAGTGACGTCATTTTCGTGGGAAACGTAGTTTTTTCCCCCTACGGTGCCTTTCAAAGGTTTACTGGCGTTTTTAAAAGTTCTGTTTGACGTTATTCCTTCTGTATAGTTTCCAGAATGCTTAGAACTCACACTGAACTGTTGGAAACCGTTTATTTTGATGCACGTGCTGTTTGTTTTGTTTCTCTTCTTTTGCACAAAATATTTATTTTTGTTTTTCCTGCAGTTTATAAAAATTGCTCCATCTCAAAAATGTAACTTTGAAGACACTGTTGGAAATTTGTTTTGTGCAAT